AAAAAAAAAAAATAGATACAATAAACATATACTCTATTACAAAAGTACCTATTGTAAACATTCCTATTTAGAAATAATTATATCTAACGTAAGAATAAAATAAAAATTATAGAATATTAAATAAAAATACAAAAGATTAATTGTTATTCAAACGAATATTTTAAATAGGTACTAAAATATATCACTTGAGTTTGATAATCATTTTACTCACCCAGATGATAAACTTGATTAGTACATAACAATTAATAACAAACAGAAACAGTTTCAAATCCTCAGAAAAAGCAATGTGTTCAATCTTCTTAATACTTTCTTTTATTTCAATGAAACTCATATTCATACTTTCTTATACGATTGGTTCAACATCAATTTTTTCCTAATAATTCAATTCAGAAATAAAATTATAGAACAAAGAATAAAAATGTTTTCTTACATAAAATATAACTGCATAGCTACAGTAACGCGTACACCAGATTCAAGAACTTGCTACCCGAAATATTTGATATCCACTAATTAAAAGTTTTGAACCTATAATTGTCACTTATAAGGAAATTGACACTGAAGTATTTTTATTAATAAAATATTTTTAATAATATATATGATGTAATAATAATAATATGAATTTACAATAAAAATGAAATATAAAAATAAAAAATATAAAAGTGTATTTGACACATAAAAAATTGGGTACATAGGAACGATAGATTTTGGTGTATACTGTATTGATATATTTTTTGAAAATGTAATATTTTCCTATAATTATCAGGAGTATACTTGAAGATTAATAGAGATTAATCAATAACATCGGAAAATGCTTTGTGTTTGCTTAATTCAGTAAAGATATTATGCCATTTATGATTATCGGTGATGGCAAATAATTTTTATTTTATGTATAAATAACAGAGTCGATACACTCCTAATTTTATATTTCAAATTAAATTTGATTGTCATTGTTATCTTTAAAAAAAACTGAGCTCAGCAGAGGTGTTAAAAAAATATTTTAATTTAGTTAAAATGGCAAAGACACTTAATATATGGGACAAAAATCGTTTGCTGCTCTAAGATTGTGATTAAGGTTTTTATTTTTGTTCTTATTTTTAACGACTTTTGTATTAGTCATTTTATGGACAGCACGGCTCAGATTATTTTAGAAACATTATTTATTACACCTTATCTGAGTTTAAAGGTCATTATATCCTACAGACCGTTGATTATTAACTTAACTTTGTTGTATTGTGTATGTGTTCTATAATAATACAACAATTAAAACTAATAGTTAATATTTACAACTTCAAAGTGATGACTGGCGACTGCTTCACAAAAACTTGATAACTTTCTTTAAATATTTTCTTTAGATTCACGTTGATTGAAGGTTACCTATCAATATGAAGCCCGATATGGCGTTATCGATGTTCTATTGATAGTTCAAAATACATTAGTAATTTATTCAAATTTTTAAAAAAATAATTGTATTTATATATTTTTTAGTTTCAATATGAGATGTTTATAGAGAATATTATAATACATTTTTAAATTTTAGGTATAATAAATAAAAAAGTAGTACCAAGTAGATCTAATTTTCTATCCATAACCACCACTCTTTAAATTGAAAATCGAATTTTTTCGACTATTAATCACGTACAAAGATCAATAATAAAACACACACAGCTTAATAAAATCATAACATTCTTCGCTATGCATAGAATCTAAAAATAATTTATTTTATGGCCTTCGATAAAAAAAAAAATTTGGGCACCACTGTACTATTATATTAAAAAAATATATTGAAAACGAGCGCCATGTATTTTATATCCGTAAGCGCAAAACTTTTAAGTACCTATGTAAAGTATGACCAATGACCATGAGTACTACCAGTAACCAGTAGGTACATAATATTATATTCATTATGACGTTATATTGTGTATTTGCTCATTACCGCCACAGTATACGACATAAAATTGAATATTTTAATATTAATTTTCACTAGATAATTCAAATTGAAACTTGAAACTTCTATGACAAAAATACAATCACATAGACATAATACACAATACGTATAATCTTAAAATATTTAGTCAAATAGGCACTGAAAAAATAATTAATAATAACTAATAAAAACTTTATCTCTATTAAAAGTTAACACCTAGAGATTGGAAAAACAGTAGCGACAGTAGCGTTATTTATATAAAATTTAATTTAATTTTTAGATTGACAACAAAATAATATTAACAATATAGAAATTTAGATGACATTACAGTAGAACTTCGATTAACCGTCACTGTCGGGACCGGGGCTATGACGGTTAATCGAATAGACATAATGTCATTGTATAATGTATATTCTTATATAATATTTTATACCATATTTTTTTTTTTCAAGCGGGTCTTCACGTAATTTATACTAGACAGTAGACACATTAATGTCAAATTATTGTCAATTAACTCAATTGTCAAATCACACAAAATTATAATGAATTATTTACTAATAATGAATGGTATTTGTTAATTGCTTATAACATTTTACACCATACATGAATTAACGAGAATCGTACCTATCTAATTGCTGTGTCAGATAGGGTAAGTACCAACCGACTGCTATTAAAATTTTTACTTGCTCAAAATAAACTATTACTTCCATTTTCAATTTTATCTACCGAATTATAGTTAGGCCCAACGAGTTAGTTTAGCTGGCTTTTTTCGGTACTTAATAGTCGTTAGCACTGTTTGCATTCTGCGTTGCGACTGACGAGTTTCCGAAGAAGATTATCAATATTATCATCATTATTCATTCCCAATATTCCCATTCAGACATTCAGTCTTTAGTTAATAGTCCATTAAGTACTCTTTACCAAAAATATGAAAATAATATTTTATATTTATTTCTAATTTCTCGTTTGTAGTGATTATATACATTTAAAAACCGAGAGAAAATTTTGTTTTTGTTATATGTATAGTATATGTATATAATATGTTAATATGTAGGTATAAGCCATAAGGTAATCTATAATGTATATCTAAAATTAGAATATTACGTATCTTTATATTATTATATTTATATAACGATATTCATACATTTACCATAACATTTATGTATAATATATCTACTTTGTAATGTATTCAATTTGTATACGAGTGATGTAAATTATTTTTAATTGACGCCGAGTTACTCTAAAATAATATAATTACTTAAATAATAACATGAATGTACATGGCATAATGTATTAATGTGTATAAAAAATAAATTCCAATAATAAAGTATAAACACTGCTTTGGGCATGTCCGTAAATCTTAAAAGTTATACTATTATGATTTTAAGTCTATGCCCTGCAAGCATATCTGGAATTTTGAGAATTATACCTTGGAAAAAGTAGATAATGTAATAAATAATAATGTAGTAATATACCTAGTAGGTATCCATGTCTTGTATTGAATATTTATAAAATATAATAAATAATAATACTAAATCCAACAAGATTAACTAATAGTTAATTAACGTTAAAATCATCACACTTCTTATGCCAAGTGCTTAGGTTGAGTTAGTATCTATTTACTTGTATTTGAGACTATCGGTTTTAATAATATTTGATGCACTTTATATGCTGACTTACATGTTCTGTTACTCGGTGACTTCCCCTCTATGATCCCCTGTTCTGTTTATTCTAGTAGGTATTCTGTTCACTTTAACGTATAGCAATCATAATGTACATCCTTTATATAGATGAAGTTGTATGCGTTATAATTTATAAACCTATAATTAAAGCTTGGATATTTAAAACTGCATATTTTTTTATCACAACTTAAAATGATTTTATCATATTAATTGTTAAAGTAAGTTGGTTTAAATGACATTTTTTTCAAGTTTATAGCTGTTAGGTAGTATATGATTGTAATTTTTTGTTTATAATTATAAGTCTAACAAGGTAACAACCATATTATTTATTAAGTGTAACTTTAAGACTTTAAGTAATTAGTTAAATTAATTTATTTGAATGTATCACTAATTTAAAACATTTTAATAAGAACCATTTAAACACTATTCCATGACACAAGTTTACTTCATGACTTGATATGTGTACTATAAAAATTAGACATTCATCGTTGTTACCTAATTTTATTTTTTAAATTATGGATTAATTATTAGGATTATTAATATTGATAAATATATAACAATATAGGTAGTTTCAACTGTTCCAGGATCAATGTAAATTTTCAAAAAAAAAAACTGTCCTTAAAGTTTTATTAATTTGACTCAACATAACCCATGTTTTATGATCGCAACACGTCTTAGTGCTAGTGAACTAGTGAACACTTTCATGTGTCTTATGATTAAACATAACTTAGTACTAGCTATAATTCAACTTTTTTATAAAGCTCAATTTATTATAATATATATAAAAGAAAAAAAATAATACTGGTTTAATGGAATTCAAAACTGTTGTATAATAGGTACAATTAAATTTGTTTTCTTTATAATTATACTATTTATTACAGCAAAAACAAAATAATAACTAAATTTTCAAAAATCAAATAACATTAATAATCAACAGGTCATGAAATAAATACTAATACACTACTTTTGGTTCTGAATGTTTTAGTTGATACCATATCGTCTATATCATGTAAAAAAAATTAAAAATGTAAACATATTTCTTTGTTTATGTCTTCATCTAAAATAAAGGATGGGAGTGCAGTGATATATTTGGCTAGATATCTCTATAGTCAGTATAATTTAATTATTTAACATTAGTAAAAAATAAACAATTATCATTCTTTAGATAATTGTCAAAGAAGACATAATTTGTAACCATTTTTTTCCTTCATTATTAATATGCCAATACTAATCATTTATTTAACTTCAATAATTACTTTTGACGAGTCTTTTGTATTTTTTAATTAATGGTCATAGTTATATGTATATTATACATATAAGTATTTTGGTGGATACTTTTCAAATATTAATAACCATATTAGTTATTACCTACATTTTACATCATAAGTAACTTTATATTTCATTGCTCTAATTTATTACTTAATTGATACACTTTTTCATGATTTTAAAAATTTTGATTTTATATTTGTTACCATAAAAGAGTTATGCGAATAAGTGATTGCAGTAGACGATGTGGCAATTTGTCTTGCAAGTCTATCAGCTATATCATTACCTTCAATTGCATTATGACTTGGAATCCAAATTAAATTCATTAAATTTCCTTTTAATTGATGTGCATGTATTAAGCATAATATACTATTTAATACATCAGATGCTATATTTATGTTTTGAATACATGATATGGTACTTAATGAATCACTAAGAATTATGTAATTATTGAAATTTTCTGTCAATGCATAATCAAGTGCCCTCAATATAGCTACTGCTTCAGCTTCACATGATGTATAGTCTGACGATAATTTATAGCTGTATGTATCCTTGGTAGATACAACAGCAATACCGACATTATTATGAATTTTAGATGCATCTGTATATATTCTAAAACTATTTGGATAATTTTGTAATAAATTATTAAGACAAGCTTTATAAGTTGCTTGAGAAGTTTTCCCTCTTGGAAGTTTGGTTAAACTGGTATCTATGTTTGTTAAATTTGAAGCAATATTGGTTTTTGTATTATTTGTATAAAATGTAGATTGAAATATTAAGTTAAATTTAAAATCCATTGGTGATGGTATTGATTTTGTACATTGATATTGTTGAAAAGAGTTAAAATGTTGATTGAAATATATGTTAGTACCCTGGGTTGAATTAATCTGTTGCGGATAGCTAGTAAATATATTTCTGGATTTGAAGTATTGCTCAATTTCAAAATCATTATTGTACATTGTTTTTACACAATCAGGCACAGCAGATGAATCACTAATAATCTTGAATCTCATAAATGGGTCTACAGTTCTCATTCTTAAGTTATACGTTTCATTAATCTTTAAGAATACTGTATAGTAAAATAAATTATCCATGAGAAAAGTGATATTTGTATTTTCTGAAGCCAATTTGATTTCATTCCAAATTAGTTCTGCTAAATTAAATATTTTTGAACCAATAAATGATGAGGTATGACGCTAAAACAAATAATGAAAACAATGTAAAAATAGTAACATTAACACCAAAATATCTGCTTAATTATCAAGATTAATAAATTGTTATACAGTTTAATATGTATATATAATAATATTTATTATAGATATTGTTTACTGATGATTATTTTCATAGAATCAATTAATTATATTAATAATGGGACTTCACATTTGTCATCTATATTTTTTATTTGAGTATCTAAAAGTTACAATATTATGATATATTAAGTACAATAAATAAATGTGATGCGTGGAATACTAAAATAATCCAGAGATTAAAGTGAATATTTTTGAAGAAAATAGATCCATGAACTAGTTCCTTTTTGGGTATATAATCTGCGATTTGTTTTGATGCGAAGCTATTTAATATTAATTTGTTTATACTTAGATTTATAATTTTTTTTACGTCTTTAAAATATATACTATTATGTTTAAATATATTCAATCTAACTTAACTTATAACAATAAATAATAATCAAAACAAAAAACTTACTATAATAAAATCACTAGTGGAAATAGTTGGCTCTCCAATTAATAATAAGAATTGTTCAACACCAGCTCTGAAATTATTTTTGAATAATATTGTATATGAACAAATTTGGGCTAAAATTTTCCATTTGATATTTTTATCATATTTTGGAAATAAACCAATAAGAAAAGGAATTGCATCTTCACCATTTTTATGCTTTTTTGCTATCATTTTTATATCATATTTCAAATTTGATTCTGTATTGATTTCACTCTGATTATTTGAAAATAAAACAAAACAAATAATTAAACTAATACAATGAAAAATTTTAGTTCTATATTTATATACATTAAATAGCTATTTAATAACCACACAAATAAATAAAATAAAATTTGTATAATAATATCAAACATAAGAAGATGCCACACCCACATTAGTTATTTCTGTCTTACAAGTGCGTAAATAACAAATCTATGCTCTTCAGTTCACATTTAGCTTCATTAGCTTTAACATTAAAGTGAATCAACCTATTATTAAACTTTATCTGCGATCGTATGCAAGTTTTAAATACAAAAACTTAACAATAAAACTATAATGAATACAAAAAATTCTTAACATTAAGTTCCCATAATAAGTCGGTAACTACAAATGTGATTATAGCATTCTCTTAATGATGAAAATAATATAATTAACAATTAGTCAGTGAACTAAGTTATAATAAAAATCCCATTTTTTAAATTTAAAGTAAAAACAATTTTTAAAGTGACAATTAATGTATTTTAAATTTTAATTTTTTCAAAAAATTAAAATATGAACTGAATCGACATTTATTTACAATAATACTAGGGTTGATTTAACGCACTCAGTAATCTCTAAGATTTATTAATTAATATTTGGCTCTAAAACATAAGAAATATTTTGGAACATATAAAGTATAATTATGGCATGTCATCACATGCTAGACCTACATTGCACAAAACTAGAATTGAATAATAAGTCAATAAAACGACAAATTATTAAAGTTTAAAGGGTTATATTTTAATAATTATTACCAATATTCAATAAAAACTGCATTATTAATCATCATTGTAGAGTATGCCATTTGCAGTGTACAAAAGTAAATATAATTGTCACTAAGTCATTTGGAAATAAATTAAGGCTAGAAGATTAAGGCGAAGAAAAATATATCTTACTTTAAAATTCACAATTTCAATAAATATACATTCATTGAAATGTATAAAATTAAAATTATAGATGATTTTCCATTAATCATAGTTTTTTTTATCAAATACTACATCCAAATTTGAGGTTGTGTGTATGTTGAAAACTTACTAAGAAATTATTTAAATAACCTTTAGTATTTAAAATATTGTAATAGTATAGTTTAAAAATAAAAGTTAAAAACTATAAAATACAATTTGTAGTTTAAGCAAGAAGCAGGTACATAGATTTGTTATGTTATGCATTTGTAGGGCCAAGACAGTACATGCAGGTAAAAAGGTCTTCTTTAGATGATAATAATATTCTAGTCATAAGTCATATAAATTGAATCAATCGCTATTTTAAAACATTCACATTTTTAATACATACAATTTCTAACATTTGATCTTTATACAGATAACTCATTAATTTTTAAATTAAATTAAATCTTACAATATATTCTGAATCATCCGCTTTAAAAACAGGTAATCCTTTTTGTGCCACTTGAAATTCATTTTCCAACAATTCATTTAAAGAAGTTAATACAAGTAAATTAACAGAATAAGTATTTTTTCCATCAGAAGAACTAATAGCTCGCTGAATTGCCAAGTTAATTTCACTTTCTGTAGGACATAACGCATTTTTCTGTAACAACAGTTTCTCAGTTGAATATAACTCATGTGTATACACAAATTGTCTTTGAGCAGTCAACACTAATGAATAAATATGAAACCAGTGAGAAGTTTTAGGATCCAATGTACATGCTTCAATAGCATATTTAGATGCATTTTTAAAACATTCAAGACTTTTGCCATATTCAATTAATATAGCTGCTCTTATAGCATACAAAGCGGCTTTGGATCTATTATTCATATTGTCAAATGGAACAATTTCTTTAAATAACTGAAAATTAATGTAAAAATAAATTATAACAATTATAATAATCACTATAAGAAAGCTAATATAATACTATTATTTCATCTTGTGGTAGTGTTTAAATGAAATATTTTTTTCCAATTTTTAATCAATATCAGGCTATAATTTTTATAGTTATTCTGTTATTTTTACCAATTAAACTTTAAGTTTAATAATGTAATGCTATTTGGACATTTTTGCAATGAGAAATATAAATAACTAGTGAGTGGAAACGTGGAATATAGTCAATAATTTTTTGTAAAAAAATATATAGTAATAAAATAGTTAAATTAGTTAAATTAGTTTTAAAAGTAGCAATATTAATACCTAATACTGACTTTACCTAAATTATTTTGTATCACTGTAATCAATATAAAAAAGTAGTCTTTTTCAGAACTTTTAATTTTGTCACCATTTCCACTACTTACTTAAACAACAATTTTGAATTTACCCATTTAAATCCTCCAGTTTCATTTGCAGCAAATAACATATGAACAAAGTTTGCCATTTGAATGTGCTTCAAAGCAGTATTAATAGACAAGTAAAATTCATCAGTACCTTCATCCAACTTTTTAAGCCAATTACCGATTTCCAAAATTATTGTATCACTTTCACTTGGTTTACCATTTTGATATAATTCATAACTAATGATTAAATTACCAATGAATCTAAGAATAAAAATATTACTATTTAGATATCAAGTTTTACATTTTTTAAGCGGATTTTTATCAAAAAATACACAATACCAATAACATTAAAAAGTAGGCTATATTGATGCAATAATACTAATAATTTTTGCTGGAATAATAAATAATTATTTTATAATTTAAGTAGTAAAAATGTATTGCACAATACAATTTTGGGTTATAAATTGCATATTAAATTAATAAGAATTAAATTTATTTCAAATTATAACTATAAATTTTTATCTTGTAATGGATTAAATAATTTAAATTTAAATATAAATAAAATATGTTAAATAAACAATAAAATATATTCATTGTCATCGTAATAACATAGATTAGAAAAATTAATAAATAAAACATATTTACCTTACAAATGTAAATTCAGTTACAGTAATGTCTAAATCGTAATTATCATATTTTTTTTTAATATGTGCAATAATATCTCGCTTCTTTTGCAGTTGTAAATTCCATGTAAACAAACAATGCAACGATTTGATTTGATTTAATAATTGTGTTTCCTTGATTTGTTCTATAGGGGCTTGTTTTATTTTTTCAATACTTTTGGGGTCATTTTTACTATTTATCAAATCAGAACCAATATATAAATCTTTAGTACTAATTTCCAAAGGTACTACTTTAGAAACAACCATATTTTCAGTAGAATTATCATCTTTAACTTCATTCAATAACTTGAGAACATCAATATTTTGCCTTATATGTTCAATTGAATTTTGTTTTGATTCACTGTTATTCTTATTTTGTTTATTAGATGCTTTTACAAATGATTTGAACATTGAAGAGAACATTTTTTTTCTAATTAGAAAATCAAATCTGTTGATGGCATATAATTAATGAAGTGATTAAATAATAGTAAAAATAAATTAAAACTTACAAGATTGAATAAATATCGTGAAAATCTACTAAACCAAAAATCATACAGTATAAGATTAAATATAAACGTGTCTACAGTTTTTATACTTTTCTCTGTCTACTGTCTACCAATAATTAATAGACCTTCTGCTAATGAACAATGAAATTAATTTATGGCGGATGACTTGATATTGTATCGTACACACAGAAAATCGTCGAATTCATTAGAATTCGACGGGAAAACAAATGCACATCAAACACTTGACGATCGTAACACGGTATCCAGGTGATCATTAAGATTAAATTAATTTGGTAACAAAAAAAAAATTCACATAACTACTGCGCAATTACTACTACGTACTAATCGCGCCTCTCGAGAAATAAATTTAGTCAGGCGATCCTGTACGGAGCACAGGACAGCCGTCTGCCACGTACTGTACTCTGTGCTATACTAGTCATACTACTCATACTACAGAACTGTTAACTACTAGCTGCGATTTTATCATGGCTAATATTATATATTATGTTATGTTAACTCAATAGTCAATATGTTTTACGCCGTAGTTCGTAGATATTAGGTAACAACTATTTTTTTTCAGACATACAGCATACGAGTTAGTATGTTACACTATCAGGTACGTAATACGTATAATATTATTTTCTCTTGTTCTCCTTATTATTAAGTACTTAGCTAATTATTATAGTTACTAGTTAGTTACATGATTTAGGATATTATACTGCCATAGCCATACTGGTTAATGGTTTTATACTTTTACCTGTTGCCCTTTGTAATATAATCTAAAACACGACAAATAAACGCTGGCCTGTTATTCATATCTATTATCTATCATTATTATATTCTGTGCTACCATAATAATAATTGGTTCTCAACATTGTGCCGTCGCGATGCCATGTGTGTACATAAAATAGTATTTACGGGCATAAAAAGGTACCTCGACCGACTAGCCAATAGGCAACAGTAGTTCAAAGTTCAATGTATTATTATAATCAGAGTCAGTCTTAGGGTGGAGCGAGGCCAGGGGTAAATTACTTTAGTCAAGACTTATAGTAAAGACTTTTTTGTATAGTATAAAATAATGTATAATTTCATTAACGTGAGGCTCAAAATGTCATACAGAAGTGAGAAGCCAGAGACAGAGGATCCGCTGGCCCCTGTTTAAGACCGGCTTTGACTAATAGTCCCTTGTGTAGTTGTGTTTTTAGTTGTTGCTAGTATTAAAGTATACCTAAATCAGAGAATCGGTTTTTAGCGAAAACGGGCCATGTCCTACACTCTAATACCACCAATAACTAGACACAAGGGACTATTATAGCAATATTTCCATCTGTATTGTGTCTCTAAGTATTTGTAAAAATGTAAAAAATGATGGGTGTGCTTTATGAAATTGTTCATTGAAATGAAATTGAAAAGATTTACAATTGTTAGTTGTTCTTTTTAATGTCGCTGTATGTGAAGCCTAACAGAAGAGATACTAAATCGAAGTATAAAAATTTAACATTTGTCAGATAATTATTATATGCGAATATAAATAAAGTATGATACAGTTTATGTTTCCTTCCGTCATCAACGAATGATGATTATCAAAAATTATCGAAGATTATCGCTGTATATATTGTCGTATCTATGATCTTCGCAATTATTTACAAATGTCATTGCTATTACCTACATGTTATATTACTGTATTTTATACATACCACAGTCCACAACATACACTGATTAAAAATGAAAACCATTTGTTTCCAAACTTTTTTTGGCGAAAACAGGAATTGTACCATTTTTGTTATTGGCGGAAACTGGTAATTCCGAAAGTGTTAAAGTATAAAAGAGTGAAATTATATTATAGCAGGTACTGTAGTACATTTTTTTTTTTTTGCTATCCGCTTTGTCATTTTTACACCGTATTGCAGTAAACATCTATTTTGTGCGTGTTATATGAATTATTTGATATTAATTTAGTGATTTAACTCTCTCTTTTTTTTTAATTATTATCATATTATTATAATATTAGTATATTATATTATTATTTCGATGTTTTTAATTTTTTTCTACTGTTAATAATACTTACAAGCTTAAGAGGACGCCTGTACACCCCTCTTAAAAACTATACAACATGAATAATTTTCGTTCAGTAGAATTAATTTTATTCGTTTTATTTAAATATTTGAGTGAAATGATTTATTATCAAATTTAAAGGTTTTTTTTTTTTAAGTTATTTACCTATAATCTATACAATTTAGCTCAATCAGTGCTAACTAAATAATTTGATTGCATGATTAGGGTGCCAGCGAGCCACCCATTATTCATTAATGATATTTTTAGCTTTGAGTTACCTAATCAAACTAATTAATTAGGAAAGATCTCTACACCACTTTCATTTAAGTCTATGGTAAGGATTTCCCGGAAGTACAAGAATATATAACCCTTTTATAAATGGATTATCGTGGTTTTTTAATCTAGAAATAAAGGTTTGTAGAAAACTACTGCTAAACTTAAAATTAAAACATGATCTCTGTTCTCTCGTCGGTTTTGTTGGCTATTTTGATTTTTAAGCGAGTTAAGAGTGTTAAGACTCACGACTCAACTTATGAGTACCTATCTATGTAAAATATTAATATTTAAAAACGCTTTTAATCCACTTAAAAATTAAAATATTGTAAAAACCTGACGACAGAACAGAAATTATATTCTTATTGTAATAATAGCCATTCATAACCAAGTTATACAAAAAAAGTGGCATCATCATAATATTTTATACTTATACAGTTATACCATACTATTATAAATATACGTACGGTCACACAGATGTTTACATTATGATCATGGATATCTGTGGTCAGATATTGTTATAATGTTATGTTTTTATCTTTGTATAAAAGAATTGATACCGGCTAAAATGAGACGGACCCATCGACCATCGACGACTCGGACTCAATGTCATTCTCCCCGTGTATTCCTTTGGTTGTGGTCATACGTTAAGTGAAAATTGTATATCATCTAATAAATTGTGTGTGTATTAAATAATAACGGTGTTGCTTTAACATTAATAGTATATATCTTTTAATTAACAAAAAAACCTGTACATCATTCCTGCGTTCATCGAATACCTTACAACCAAACTAGGGTAAGTCAATTTTATATACTTAATATACCTATATATATTTAATAATATCCTTAAATGTATAATCGTGTATATACACATACACATATAAGAAAGTACACTGCCCACGCAACGTATATGAAAGATAAACACATATACGTTGTTTGAGCGTGTCTATTATACTTTACTAGGTACATTATTTTTAAGTTTGCTAATAGGTCATTTCACTCTAATATTTAAGCTAAAAGCATACACGTTTTGTTCACGTTATTTGTATAATTATACTATTAGTAATTGAGTTAGTGTCTATCTAACTTATTAAATAAATAAGTATAAGTATAAGACAAAAAACACTATTATTATTTATTATACATACATATTAATATATTATATATGTTTATGATAATTCATAGTGACGATTATAGTAGATATTATTTATTACCATTGTTACATTATTATAAAATTACGTTGACTTATAAAATTGTATGTGATATTGTGTACTTGTCATCATATAATTGAAATATTATTTTTAAATTACTTTATGGTGGAATAAAATAATTAGATATCTGATATGTGGTTGTATAACGCAACGAACATTGGTTAATGACTACTTAATATTTTAGATAATGTCTTAAAAACAACTAAAAATTGTATACGTAATTAATTAATTAAATTCGATAACTGATAATAGTTCTATTATATTTTGATTAATATTTAAGAGAGGCGATTTATTTTAGATTCTGAGTAAAATTATAATTGTAAATTTATTTTACAATTTTTGATTGATTTTGTGTCACCAAGTTCTGAATAAGTAAAAATGTTGAATTTTAGTTTTGAGATTAGTTTCTGGTAGCCAATCAGATATAGGTACTTGATTTTTTATAAGGCTTCAAAAGAAAAACAATTTTCTATAATTTTTAAAAAGGACATAATCAAAATTATTTTAGTTGTTAATTTATTATTTAAATTATGATAACTGTAGATGTTTTTTACCAAATAATTAAAATAGTTTTCTTTAGACATATAATTTACTTTTCAAAATGTTTTTTTTATAATTTTGTGCTATTTAAAGAAATTTTAAATTTTCGATTTATTTATTTATTTTTATAAAACGTTTAAAGTTTAAGTCAATTTTTTATAGGATTCAGTCACAAAAATAGTTCAATATTTAATTTAGAATTCAAATTAAATACATAGGTACCTACATTATAATGATTTATTCCTCGATGACGATGTACACTCCACACCTATTTTACAGAAGAGTGATTACCTACCACCTCCATTTTATTAATTTTTTCCCCGATATTTTTTATTTGATTTTGATCTAGATATTTTTTTCACACTTGTATTTGGTCAACTATATTAGGTATGGTTGATATTATTAATAAATCTGATATCATGTATAAAATCTATCAATATATACGTAGGTACTGACATTTTAACGGTATCTACACATAATATATTACATTAGTTATTACACGTGTGGTAATTCTACTCTTATACAGTCAACTTGTATATGGGTGATCAAAATATAAGTACCTATTAAAGTATACCTACGGTACACTATATAGATATAATACTTGCTGAATTACCCGGCTTCGCCCGTGTGCAGTTTATGCTTATTCAACATTTTACTCAATTTTATCAAGTGCTAAATAGTACCTAGTAGTAGTAGTTGTAGTAGCTGAATTATAAATGAAACAAAAATATAATGATTCTAATTATTATTTTATTGATTCTATAATTATAATTATAACTTGTATAATTTAACTTTATTTATGAATATTTACAAATGATTCTGTATTTGTTTGCTCATTTCTAATATGACGTAAGTCAAAACCTCTTGGTATACCACATTCAGGGTTTTATTTTAAGGTGTATAATTGTATAAACGTATAAATGATCAGGTATTCCAACTCTAGAAAATGCCACCTACAATTGTCCATGTAGGAAATAGTTATTTACCAAATATACAGAACAATAAGTAATAAAGTTAAAGTTTGACCTTTGGTTTTGTTTATAGTCATCACAAAACAGTCTTTTATTGGTAACTGAACTCTTCTAAACCCAACTGGAAAATCGTCGGGGTATAATGGTATTTTAGGTAAAAATATTTTTTTTATGGATATAAAATGTCTAAAATCTATTAATCTATTAATCGTATTGTATAGACTATCATACACTTCTATGCGCTTAGTTACATACGATGATACATAGCATATATTCCAATACTACCATTATAAAAAATTTGAAAATCATCCACGTTTTCAAAGGCTGAATATGTAAGTGGTGTTTGATAAAATAATACATTTTTGGAAATAAGCATTTCATTACATAAAAAGTATTATCTAAATGAGAAAAACAACATTTTATCATAGTCGATAGATATAAGTAGTTCAAGTAGTAGATAAGTACCTACGTTATAAACTATAAATTACCTATGTCAATATCACATTTAATAAACAAAAAAAATAACGTAGCTAGATAAGTGAGTATTGTTGTGTTGTACATTATATTGACGTCAAACGGATCATTATGGTAAAATGGATGTGTTCAAATTCAATTCAATTATATGATATCATTGTACTCGAAAAATTAATCTTAACGGAGATAGTTTTTCAGTCTATACCACAACGTATTCATTAGTACATTTCATGATATGTATTTCTGTCGAAATAATTAATTTTACTATTAGGTATAATTGTTGGTTGATTTAATTTCTGATGAAAAAATTGCATTTATCATATGATTATAATAATTAATAAATTATAATATGTATTTAAACCATATTATATTATTGATATTAACTTTTGAGTTAATACCAGTTTACCAAAAAATAATTTAGATATGTTTATAATAGTATAAATAGATAATATTATTCTAAAATTAATGTACACAATATGTTGAAAATAACACTATTTATGGTTTACCTATAATAAAATTTATAATAAATATTATAAACGTTTTAACTTCCCATGAATAATGCTTTTAAATTATAACAAAATAATTAACGTTGTTATTCATTATTAAGGTTTAAAATATATAATTTTGTCGAAATTTAAACTTTTTTTAAATATCTTAATTCTAATATAAATTACTTACACATGAATAGGACTCGGAAGTTTTACATTTTGCATTTTTTTTGGAACTTCTTAGACGATGTTTTTTTTAGCTGAAAACGTGTTTCAATAGCATACAAATCTAAATAACTAATTTTTATTTTACTTATCGCGGCCAGCCATAAAACCATTAGTAAAGCGGCTGGGGGTGCCCTCTCACCGTTCCTTAGAATTTAGATAATAATTTGTTTAAACTTCCGATGTTTTACTTGCATTTATCCCCTAGTTTAATATAATCACGTGGAAGTGGAATATTATACATGAATGTAGGCATTTTATATAGCAGTCTTAGAGTTAGGAATTTTTTTTACAATGTGATATAGAAAAACAGAATTTATGGTAAGTATATAGTTTTTTTGCTGCCCTCCTCCCCTAGAAAATTACTGCGGATGGCCTTGGCCGGTCTTGTATACAAAATACTCAATACTCATTTCTCAAATTAACAATAATTGTTTAGTACGAATGCATTTATTGAATGCAATACAAGGTTGTTTTTGATGATACGATAACTATGTATTAATACAGCTCACTACGTATGCATGTTGTTGAGAACATGCGTCGATCAGAATACACACGCATAATTGATTTTTGTCGAATGGCCCGGCAAACTTGTTTAAAGTAGAGTATACTTAGCCATCTTATTTTTAACAATAAAATTATTATTTTGAGAAAACACCAATAATGACATTATTGTTGATTAATTGTAGCCACCAGTTTATATTTTATATAATATAATTAAGTATTCAACTGTTTCGTACTCTCGTGTACGGTTTAGTTAGTTCTGCATGTGTTCAATTTTTTTGTAAAAAGCTTTTGATATTCCTTTACCTCCACATCCCTTTACTGACTAGATGAAGAACGTAGCTTAATGCCGCAAATTATTATTGCAAACACTTCGAATCGTTAAAAGTAATAATACTTGGCTTAAACAGAAAAGACGCTACCCACATTAATTGCAAAGACCAAGACCTCATGAATGATTGTGATTTAAAAAGTAACTTGACATATATTTATTCTATTAAATATAATTTTTATTCGTCTTTATATTTTTTGAAGAAATTAACATTGTTATTATACAAATACATAGTTGTTTAAAAATAAAAATTAAATATTTCTTAAAAAAATTAAAGTCATTTTTTATTTATAATTTATTTTATTTCATCAAAGGTATATTAATTTTGGGTAATTTTTAAAGTCATTTTCCGTCCTTTTTTTATTATTTATTTATACATTTTTAAGTAAGTTTTAAAGATTTTTTTCATCAACTTTTGAGTATTACTTATGAACAACATTGTGCAAAAATTTTAAAAATAAGCTATAAAAATCGAAGTTTTTATACATTTTACAATAACATACTCGTAAAACAGGAGGCTAGTTTTACAGTAGAATTGAATGATACGAAAAACTATTTTTATTGGCGGAGTTTACATCTAAAGATAGTTTATAATTTATTAATGTTAAATAATGTACCTGCTTATAACTACATTAATTGTAGAAGAAATGAGGGAGAATAGGTGAAAGGCAATAATAGTGGCCATTATAATCATGAACAAGGAGAAAATCGGCATATAATATTAGAAAAATTGTGCCCTAACTATGTAAAATTTAAATTTGTAAAGTAGCCTATTTGTTAATCTATAAATCATCTCTGTATATGGTTTTGGTCTTTGGATACCTAATTTTGTCAAATATTATGCTTCTAACAAAAGCTTTAAAACAGGCTTATACATTTCAGAAATAACTCAAGCAAGTAGATGACTACACTAAAAATTTTAGTTTTTATGGTTTCTCTGGTTCATGTTTGTATAAAATACATTAACACGAAAGAATATAAGTCTATATTAATTTAATTTTAAATTATTGTGGAACATGGCAAATTAAAAATTATATGTAAAAATTTATAGTATGACAGAACATGTAAAATAAAAGTAATCTTATTTAGTAAGGAATTTTTTAAAACATTTTTTAATTATTGAAGATTATAAGAAATACTTCATGAAAAAAATCATTTACCCATCAGTTTATACATGAATCCCAAACCTAATTTATAAAAATATCAGTGATTATATTTTTTGATTGTAAAGTTGATTAAAGTATAGATTAGTTAAAATATTTACTGGTGATAACAAATTTGGGTTGTTCTTTGTAAAGTGTATAAGCTAAGAATAAGGTCTACCCATACCCATAGTCTAAATAGACTTTTCATTTATGATATTACTGATGATAACTAACCATATAAAATCAAAAACATCAACAATATTAGAAGTTATTACAAAAAGTAAGAATAAAAAATATTAGTAAGGAATCTAAAATAAATATTTGAGTACATTTTTCATATAAAACCAAGGTAAATAGATACTAAGGAATGTGAAAAATATAAATTTAAAAAACAATTATTATTAAATGTAGTTAACTATATTTATTCTACACATAAAAATTAAAAACCAAATCACCAAGTAATTTATTGCAAAAAGCAACAAATTCAAAAAATGTATTTTATTTTTATATCTATTATCTATAAATTAATTAAATTAAAAATAAATAATAATAGAGCAATATAATAAGATAATATTTAAGGCCATACAATAAAATGTAGAGTAAACAAAAAAAAAACATCAAACTTAAAAAAAGCATCAATAAAAATGTAAAAAAAGGAACAAATTTAAAATTACAAGATTATTTACCAAACGGTGAAAATCAAATCAAATTTGCTGACTAGAAAATTTAGAAATAAAAAGGAACCGAAACAAATTGATTTAAACACAATTAAACTAATATTAAACAAATATTTTAGATTGACATACAACATGGTTATTTCTATTTATATATGCGTCAAGAATTTCAATTATATAAGCAAATATCTGTAGTGCAATGTTAACTATAGTCATTTAAAATTAGTTACATTAGTAAAAATTATAAATAATCAAATACATTTTAAATGAATAATAAATAGATTAAAAATGACTAATATTGTAGAATGATGTTCTATTAGTAACAGCAAGTAAAAACTTTCATTAAATGTTTAAACATTACTCAATAATAAGATAATTTAATCCTAGTAAATGATGCAAATTACAGAAATCACACAATTGAATCGTTAATTATATGAAGTTAAGATATCATTAACTTTTTATCATAAATAATCAATTGAAATTATGTGATATTTAACTACTTTCAGTGAAAATGTATTTTCTAAAAATCTATTAGTCATTTAAAGATAAATTAAATAGTATAAAAACGCCTAGTTGCCAAATATTATTAAAAAAAGCTTTGGAATGTAATCAAGAGGAAATCACATTTGGATAAAATAATATTTTATGCTAGATTTTGAAGTTGTGTAAACATTAAAGATGAAATGAAACATATAAAACCATAGATATTAAACGTTTTCTATTTAAATCCTGTCATTAAAATAAATTGTTTTTCAGCTGTGTATGTCGATGTAATTATCTTATTTATAATAAAATTGAATAATTTAATTTTTAGAATCAAAATTTCATAATTAAGTAAAGGCTCTCATGATAAATTATAATAAGTAAGATACCATAAATTTAAATTAATAAATAATATTTCCATTCAATTATTCAATAAAAATAATAATGATATTAACTACTTTTCTGATATGAACTCCTATTTTAAGATGTATTTAATTAAACATAAATATTGTTTTAATATATTTTATAAGATTGCTATATGACAAACCAGTTATATAAGTATAAAAAGCTAACAATTATCTTAAATTAAATTGGTAAAATAATAGCCTATCATAAAAAAATTAAAGCAAATGCAGGATATTTTATAAGTTAAATCATTCTTCTTTAGGTTCTTCAGAACTTTGGAAAGGCGGACCAGCAGCTTCATCAACTTCGAGAGATAGTTCTTCAGGATCAGGAGCACGGGGCAAAAATTCAGAATCTGGATACATTTTGGAAAAAATAGATTTGGCCTGAAATAATTAAGAAATAACTAAATTCAACACCGATTTATAAAAATAATAAAAAATGTATAATTTACTTGTTTAACAGCAAACTCATAATCAACTGCTAGATCAGGTCCTGAACACAAATGTAGATTATTTGGAACATTTTGCGATAAATCATATTCTGATGTTTCAGGGCAATTAAAATAAAGTGCATACAAGATTTGAGGTTTTAATGATTTATTTAGTATATTTGACTCCCCACTCGATCCAGAAGAATCTCCCTAAAATAGCTCATAATTAACACTTAAATGAAAAATGTATGACATATATCAAAATTTAAAAACCTCTTTTGACGTTTGAGTTGATTGAGTGTCAGTATTTATTCTTATGGTAGTACCATCTGCATATTCAGAATGTAATAATGCATCAACAGCCGGTTTTAAATCATTTACTGCATTATCTATTTGTTTAGTCGTCATATGTAGTAAATCTATAATTTTTAGATAAATATAAAAAAAAGTATATATAATTAATAAAAATAAAATTGTTCCTAGTATTTACATAGTCCAGGTGGACAAACGTGAGTGGATGGTCCAGCTTCAATTACTGTTATTGGCTCTTTTCCTTTAATTGGGAATTGAAGTAATGTCAAAGACTCTTTATCAGTAGTAGATATTGATCTATCAATTATAAAAATGCCTCTTGAAAGACCTGCTTTAGGAACAGAACCTAAAAATTCTGGAGGAGCATCAGCAACACCCATTACAAGATGATCACAATCAAGCCGTGATCCATCAGATAAAATAGCTTTACATTCATTGTTTGCTACTATAACACTATCGGCTGCCCGTTTCAGATGATACACACCTCCAAATACAGCGCATAGTCTAAAGAACAAAAATAATAAATTATTTCATTATGAACAATAATGTAATTTTTTTTTTTAACATAAGTGTTTTAACATACCGACAAAAGCATTGTGGAAGTTCTCCAGTACCATACATGGGCCACAAAAACGGTGTATTACCATAACGACCAAGACTACTTAGGAATCGTTGGGTTCTTTCAACACCAACCATACATGGTGTCGTATCATTTGACATAGCAATAGCATATAATACATAATGCATTAGATTTTCAGTTAAGTTTTTGCTTTCTAAGTATTGTTTTAGTGTTTTATCTTCAAACCCTTTAAATTCACCACTCTCTGGTTTATATTCAACACACAAAGTTAATAGTTGCATTAATTGTCGTTTTTCAATAAGTCCGACATTCTTAGTAGCAAACACATCTGCTCGAGAACATGGAACAGTTTCCAATTTATCAGACTGCCAAGTAAGAATACGATTTACACACCGAAATTCAGCATAACGAGAGATATTTGATGAAATAAGAAGTTCAACCAGTGTGCCACGAGAGAAAAGTAACTGCAACAGATTAATTGAATAATACAATTTTATTTCATAAGACAAATATTAACAAAAACCATTTTTAATTAATTTAAATTTAATTAAACAAACTTTAGGTGCTAAATCCAGGTTAAATTTACGCCCCATGGTTTTAATTTTAGCTTGACACCAAAGTTTATCATTTTGTTTTAATGTAGCTTCAGTTTCAGTCAGTCCATCTTTACTTTCTTTGGGACTATCTTCAGTTTGAGTAATTTTTGCACTAAGCAAATTACCAACTGAAGGAAGTTTTCTACAGTAAAATATAAATTTAATAAAAACTAAACAAGAGTATAAAAATATAAAAATTATCATACTCGGGTATAAACCATTTTTCTTCAATATTGAATACAGTGGAAAATTGATTGCCTATAGTTATAGATTTCTCGGTGTCTTGCACTAAGGGAGAAGATGTTTTCACAAAATCATTTGTTTTTCCATTTCTACATTCCTCAAGCCATTTTTGAAGAGCTTCAAACGTAAATGATGCCCACATACCACCATAATAGTCATTTCTATAATAACCAATAAAAATATTAATAATATTTAAATAGAATATTTTGAAAATTTTTAATGAAATAAAAGAAATAAAATATACCTATCTAAATGTAAAACTCGTTTTCCAATTCGACTAGCAGCAGCAGCAACTATTGACTCGGTCATACCTAAAATCATATTATGTATTATATTATTCATATTTTTAGTTTATAAATTAACAAAACAAATACTATTCCCATAATTTTCATTTTAATCTAATAATGAATCTAAAAATAATAACTAGAGCTCAAATAATTTAACTTAATGTATAGCATATAATGTAGTACACAATAGTAAGATAATGATAACTTTTAGTAAAATTTTGAATCTTGATAAAGAGCAGCTATCAGAGTATTTTTATTTTTCAAGTTATTATTTATTATTGTAGAGAGAATAGCAAAAAATAATAATTTCCAACTAAAACATAAATATCGCACATATCAATTGACATTTAAACAAAATACACAAATAAGAAATAAGTTGATAATAATTAATAACATATTCAAATTATATTAATAATCTATAATTTTGGTTTACAATCATAAATTTAAATTTGCTGCTTTTGTTTGTACAATATATTTCATAATGAAGGTAACAATCATAAAGAATGAATGGTTTTTATCTTATTATTTTGTGCTATTCATTCCTTTTTTTTTTTATTTTTTATTAACATCTCTAGTAACAGTGGACTAAGAATTATTTTCAAGAAATCATGTGTAACCAACTAAAAATAAACTTTCTACCAATACATTTAAATTAGGTTTAGGTACCCAGTTCTAATTTACTATACAATACACTATTATTTATTTTAGCATCCAGTAATTATGTCATATATAGACAAAAACAGCCCTAAACATAATTATTTATACTTAAAACTAAGTTAAAAATTAAAATTAAATTTTTGTGATTCATAAAAGAGAAAACATATATTTTTATTTAATGGTTTATTTATTTTCTTATAAAATATAACATAATAAGTAATGGAAATTCACTTTCTCAATACCGTGACTAATATACCATATAATTTCTAATTACGCAATCATTCAATGAACTCTTAGTAAGAAAATACTATAATAATATGTATTGAAAATAAAATAATAAATAAAAAACAGTTTTGTTGTTTGATCAGTTGATTAAATGATAAAATAATTTTCATAATATCTATGAAAATACATTTTTTATTAGCCACTAATATTGATATTTTGATTTCGTAAAATTTTTAATTTATTAACTCATATTATTATAAAATATTAAAATATAACTAAAAGTAGAATATAGTAGAAAATACAAAACTGTTTTTATAATATATATAAATATAATGTAATAATATAAACATACAAGTATACTTAACTTATATTAAATCATTTTATGTTATAAATTAGAAAAGTTGTCTAAACTTTTATAAGGCCTTCATAATATTGGGTTACAGATAATCATCTACAGATCATCAAATATAAATTAATTTAATAGTTAATATTTAAAGTTTAAATAAGCGAATACACAAAGTATAAATTTTGTGACATATGCATTGTAGTTTTACAACTTTAATTTAAACATTTAACAGTTAAAAATAATAAACTATTAATTCAATATTAGACAATAATAACTGGAAATAGTTTTTAACTACAATTGTAAAATATAATTAAAATCCAATATAATATAAAATATATAAATTATTAATTATTTTAATAAATTCTAGATTCCATATGGTAAATCTCTTTTAAAGCAACAATTACATGACATATGACTAATTTATTTAATTTAAATAATCATATAAAATATCACTTAGTGAAAATTAAAATTACAATTTTTATTAGTTTATGATAATGTTAACTTATATCAAATACAAAATGTAATTTATAACTACATGGTTGCATAGGTGTGCATTGCACCGGGGCCTGGGACCTAGACGGTCCAAAAGGGAGCCCTAGAATTTTAATATTTTGTTTAAAATATATTAAAATTTTATATTTTGTTAATAATTTTAAACTATTTTATAATAAATAATATATTACGATAAAACCATAAACTTTTATATTACAAAGAGTATAAAAATACATATTATTATGTCATTTATTTCATGTATAAATATAATTTAATTAATTATGATATATTTTATGAATTATAAATATTATAATACATAATATAATTATACATTTTGTATATACGTGTAATTGTCTAATTTTATTCATATAACGATTTTTAGGGGCTATTAAATAATATTGCACATGGGCTAGAATTTTATAGTTACGCCACTGCCTCTGTGACCCACCTACCCGTAGGAAAGAAAACAGAGAAAATGTTTTATAAAAATACAAATAATATCATCGAATTATTAAGGTGCGTACACTAGACCTAATATTTTAAATATAATTATACGCGTATGGAATATATTACCTGTGCCAATGACGATTACTTCATACTTGGATGGCAGGTCGTCCTCCATATTGAAGAAAATGGTTTGATTTCAATGGAATATCTTAAAGCGTTAGTCGATTCTTGAATAAATACTTTGGTCGATGATACACTATTGACAGAATTGAATTCCGGAAACTAAACTGAAAAATGGAAGGCAACTAAAATAATATGAATAAATCAGTAATTCAACAACGACGATCATCGATTCAGGAGAATAAATTGTAAATTGTAATCAGTCGTATATTATCACTTAACACTTACTACTTAGTATTTTATCGATATGAACGAACTATGAAGCCAAAACAAAAAAAAAAAAAATGGGAATTTTATTAATTCTATTGTATACTTGTACCACGGTTGCAGCCTAATGAAACTATGCACGTTAACCACGAACAAAATCTTTATAATTTCATTGCTTACACAGTGTTTATCAATCCATAGTCTATAGATATAATCACATATATATATATATTATAATAGTATAAAATATTATAAAGATATCTTTATCAATGATGATAAATATTTTAACACCGGTGAACGGCACCAGCGCCGTGACGCTGCACCGCTGCAGTGAGTTCAGCACGACGGCAGTACGGCACTCCTGACTCCGGCTGTCGTGGACCGTGTGTCGTCACAAAAATATAGTATACAGATAAAGGAACCTTTATCAGTTGTGATATAATTCGAATGCCGAATACGCCATTAACATTATGCTTAAACACATAACAATATAAACTCTGAAGTTAATTTAATATTAACTGTTATTATTTTATATACATGTGTTAAGTTCATAGGTTTTGAATTTTTGAGTTTCGTTCACGATGTCTCAAGAAAAAGTAATTGAAAAACCTTTGCAACAGTTCGTTGTTCAAGCTCTAAAATTAGAAGGCGACAGTTTAGTGGAAGTAATTAAACAAGCTTTGGATAGTGCCGATACATTTGTGTTTGCAGAACTCTTAGAATGTCCCAATGTTCTAGCATTGGAGTCTACACATCATGCACCATACCTACATGCGTTACGCATGTTTTCACAAGGTACGTATTTGGATTATTTAGACAAAAAAGAATATTTGCCAGAACTCAGCGAGCCTCAGATGAAAAAACTGCAGTACTTAACAATTGTTACATTGGCCAATAAAATGAAAAGAATACCTTATGATGTTCTTTTGAAAGAGTTGAATGTAGATAATGTCAGAGACTTGGAGGACTTAATCATTGAAGCGATCTATTCTAATGTGGTTTCTGGCGAACTTGATCAACAGAGTGATTATCTGGAAGTAGATTGGACAGTTGGTAGGGACGTTGGCACTAATGATGTTGACAACATGATAGACACATTACAGCAATGGTGTGATTCCTGTGAGAATGTTCTTTCTACAGTACAAGCTCGTATCGTTGATGCTAATCGAACTAAACAAGATGTACTAAAACACCGCGCTGCTATTGACAATGAAGTTGCTAGCGTAAAAAAAGCAATTAGAACTCAAATACAAGATGAAGAAATGTCAGTGGATACTAGCGGTCCTACAAAAAAAATTATTAAAGGAACAAAACCTAGTGGAGCTAAATTTTGGAACAAGTAAATAACTGCACAATAATAATAATTCATACATTATATTAATTTATAACTGTTATCATTATTATTTTTTTTATGTGATGGTTTTAATATGTATAAATTAGCAGACTTAAACCATTAGTATATAATGTTTTTCCTAATAATCCTTTTAATTTAATTATATGGTAGACATAGGTACTAGATATTCAAAATTAATTTTTTAACATATGATGTACCTTAATACCAATCATTATAATCTTTTTATTAATAAAAATTTTTTTATAAAAAATGTGTTTATTATTCTTGTTTACAATTTATACAAAATACACTATCAGAAAACCTCATGAGTGATGATATATTTTATTGAATTATTAATAGTTAACACAAAGATTCACATTAAAAGGAAACCATTCTGCAGCACCACCCAACTAGGAAATTATTATTTGAATTGATCTCAGGATTAATAATTTTAATAATAGTATACTATGAATTTAATTTATTAAAATTAGTATTTCAATTTATAAATTTATAATACTTTATATTTTAACAATTTAACATTTAATTTATACAACTTTTATTACTTTATATATATTTATCTTCTTTATTTTAGTGAAGAACTGTACCCTGTAGCTGACTGAGTCGGGGCACGGATTCTCTATACAACAAATATACAGTTGTTAAAATTTGGTGAGGATGATCTGATAGGTGTTGCATAATAACCACTGCATTCTTAAGGTTTATTATTTTAATAGAGTGTACATGGTAATTGTATTAACTTTTTATTGAAAAGATAAAACCATTAATTAAATGGCTAATTATAAAAATAAAAAAAATCCATACGGTAAATATTTTACAACAATTGTATTGTTATTTGTTAGATACCTAATAACAAAGTGAATAAGCAAAAGTAGTTACAAAATATATAATAAAGTGCAAAATAATTGTATATTCTAATAACATAATACCATATTAAAGAAAAAAAAAATATTTTTATTTTACAAGATAAAAACTATAAACACTTGAAATGATTTGATAAAATCAAATAACTAGTAAATATAAAATATTATAATTATTACAATAGTGACATTTTTATAAATGGAAGAACGTAACAATTAGCCAAAAAATTTTTTTTATAATTCAGTACTATTTACTTAGTGTCTATAATAGCATAAATAATAATATAGATAAAATTCAAATAACTACAAAAATATTTAAATATCACATGATTGAAAAATATATGTTACATAGGGATTAAATTATTGTAATGTCACCTCTAATTCTTTATTTTATACATTTATTTCTATAAAAAAAATTATTCCTTAGCCTTAATTAAATGTTTTAGTTGAAATTATCACAATTTCTTTAAACATTGTCCAACTTCATTTTCATTTTTGTTTTCCTGTAACAAATTTATGTATTTAGTTATATTTTGTAAGATGTTTTACTTACATGTATTCTCTTTGTCTAACTAACATATAACATGGCAAATTGTATGTTAAGAAGAATCCATATTATTTTGTTATTTTTAATAATATAGTGAATTGATATATTATTATTTATCAAAGTTTTAACTAAAAATATTATCTATGGTATCTGGATAAGTTTTTTTAATATTTTAATTTTAAAGTAAGTTATAAGAATTTTAAGATTTACAATTTAAAAGTTTCTTCCATTAACATTATCATATTAAAAAAATCTATTAAAATGCTCCAAATCATATTTTTATCTTTAGGTTTGATAATAGATCAATTTACTCTATTATTAAAAAATAACAGAATGATATGGATTCTTTTTAACAAATAATTTCATGTGTTATGCGTTAGTAAGGTAGTACATGTCAGGAAATTATCATCTTAATGTTTACACAATACTTGAATATAAATTATTTAATCTTATAATTATTTTACATACTTTTTTAATATAATTTTTCTTATAAAAGTCTCCAAATAAAACCAACATTGTAATAATATAAAAAACAAATAAATATTTCATCCATAATGGCCAATTACACCCACTGTAAATGGCATTTATGCCTAATGGTAGAGCAAATGAAAATTGAGCCTAAAAACAAAATGATCAAAATAAAATTATAAAGATTTAAAAATAAATCAGGGGTGAAAATAATTAAGTAATCGTCATTATAACACTTACATCATTAAAAATATAACATCATTTTATCTTATATATTTTTTATTGTATTATGTAAAAAAAAGTAATTATAATTATTTGTATGAAGGTACTTAATCGTATACTATTATTTAACAAAAGCCTTAAATATTGCGATGAAAATTGCCAATGAATTTTGAGCTTCTATAATAGTAAAAATTGCATTACTGTTATAAATGAAACATGAGAATTCGAAAATACAACAAAGCTAACTAATTCTTTAAAATCTATTTTTATTTTTTACTAAAAATCAATTTTAAAAAGCTAAAATAAAAATGAGCGTTCAATCCCTAGAACTTTTATTCACACACCCCAGGGCAACATAATATTTTATCATAAGTCACTTTAGAAATCATTAAGAAATTAATTTTTTCCAAAAAGAATCTTCAGCAAAGTCAGTTTTCTTTAGTCTATAGGTAGTGCTTTTATGTTGAGTTTTTTATTGAATTTATTGTAATACAAGCTTCTTATTGTAAAAATATTTTATGTATTGCTAAACTATTAATTAACAATATTCAAAACTCTAATACACATAAATGATAAGCACAAATATTAATCAACACTTTGAAATACCTACACAATATTAAATGAGACATATAGTATTTCACTATTTCATTAATATTAATAATATATAGTAACTAATATATATATTATGATCTAATTATAATTGAACAATGATTATTTTTACCAGTTGAATTGTTGTAACATATTTTTTGTATTTAAAGATTTTTGAGCATTGTATTGCAGCTAATGTATAGTAAAAATACATTATAACATGAACAATACTGTTAATTAATATCGGTAAAAATGCTGAGCCGCCTGGTACATATTTTACACCCATCCATGAGAATATGAACATTGAAGAATGATGATAAACATGAAGAAATGACAGTTGATTATCTTTTTTCCGAAGCATCAAAAATATAGTGTCCAATAGTTCAAAAAATTTTATTATATAATACAACCATACTGCTGTTGCTATCTGGAATAAATTTGTAAATTAAAATGACATTAATTGATTTAACTTAGTATAAATTTTAATTGAGCACAATTCAAATTAAGTATTTAATCTATATTAAGCTAATCAAAGTTTATATTTATATTTTTATTTTCTAACTTCGTTAAATCAATTACAACTATTTTCTCAATAAATTAGAAAATAATTTTCAATGCACGATACAACTATAATAGACTGGTTTAACATGTAATTTTCATATTGATAAATGTACTTTTTTATTTCGTAATTGTATTCAATATCAATATGTTTTAATTGAAATGTAAAATTTATTATTATAAACATTAAAATTTACTCTAAGTTCAGCTTCTGCATTGACGTAGGTTATCGGTTGACACATCCAACTATAGTTTAATTTAGTAGTCATCAATATCAACTGGAAATATATTTATGTCAAATTTTTAAATACTCATTAATCATTATAAACATGAAATTATATTTTATTACTTCAATTATAATAAATAAATTTGATATTATCATCATAATATTGTATGTTATTAGAACATTTTTTAAACTGTAAGCTGTACGATTTTTCATGTACCGTGGAGTCAGCCATACTATTAAAAGATAACATAGGGTTATGGTAAATGTTGTAAAAATTGAATTTACCATCCACCACCCTCTTGTTCTAATATCTATAATAAAAATAAAATACACATGATCACAAATCTAAAATAATATAACAATAAAACTTAATATTAAATTTTTATGATTCTTTAGATTTTATTATTATTATGGTCAAATTCAAACTTACCACTTAATGATTCGGTCCATTGATTAAAATCTTCTACTTGTTCAAATAATGTAGATAAGTTATAATCTAAATGAAATACTGTGAATTCTCTAAAAAAATATTAATTAATAATAAATCATTAATAAAATTGATTTAGAATACTTGAGAATTAATTGTATATGTGTAGTTTTTTTATATTTTGTATAATTATCAAACTAGGATTTATTCCTTGATTTCCTTCTCTCCTCACCATACACATAATATTTTGGGAAATATTTATTTTCTACACTCTAAAAATATAAAAAAATCTTTTTTTTTAAACAGTCATTTGTAAAGTAACAATACAAATTTAACACTGTTACTGATATACTATATAGGTATGTTATTAAAATTATTATAAAATTAGTATTAAACGGCGTTTTATATAGGCATTTTACGGTCATACATGTAATATGTAACAATTAATATCACTAATTATGGTTATGAGTCTTATGACTTATAAGTAAAAAAAATTTTAAGTTAATAAAACGTTATTATACTTTTATGGCCTCACGTGTTGTGTCTATCTAATTTACAACTTAAAAAATAATATATCAACAAAATATTTTCTTTATTAAATTTGAACATCACAGTTGCCATATTATTTATTAACAAGATAAACAACACATGCGAGTGTAGCTTTCTCTTAAGACTTTGAAGTTCAAGTAATTGAATTAATTGATTTGGTGTCATTAATCATCATAAAGCTACGGTGAATTTTTATTTATTCAATCCGCTATCATCTAAAAAACAAACTATGTGTATAATAACTAATATGTACCCGTATACAATGTGCTAGTACACTACATTAAATCAATAAAAAAATGTTTACTAAACCTATACTTATGTAATAAAATAAATAATAACCTAACCATTTATATACCTATTTTTAATACGATTTCTTAATTTTATAAAAATACATAATATAAAAAAATACTGTTACAAATTATATATCTATAGTTAATTACCGTTCTAATAAATGTATAATAACATAACACTAGGTGTTAAAAACTCACTCATTTTGTACAGTATACATTGTAGTCTGTATAGAATTGTATTTTAGTGTTTGTATAACGTTTAAGTTGATGTTATATTAATTTATATATTAGTATTACATAAATTATAACTGCAAACCGTAAATAATATAAAAAGAAAAATGAACGATTTGTGTAAAGGCTTTTATGATGACGGCAAGCGATATGATAATAATTTTAATATGAAGTCCATACCAATTATTTTCTTGATTTTCAAATTTGAACGGAAACGCGTAAGACGTATTAGTAAAATTATGTGTTTAATATTACTAAGTGGTGAACGTACTACAACGTACTATTATAAACACTCCGACGCCGACTGCTGTACCGGCGAACGAAAGAAGATCAATGCTCAAAAAGCTATTGCGCATGCTCAGCTACTGCAGTACTTACGATATATTATAAGTGTATTATAATAAATACTTTGTTTTAGTCACAACGTGTTACTAGAAAGATAAATACTACATAGTGTGTATACATTAAAAGAAAAATTCGGTTATTAATGGGGCTATGAATTTATTGTACTAAAAACCTTAAAAATGCATATTCGATCTCAAATATACACTAAAAACTCTAAAAAAAAAATATTATTATTTAAAAATGTAAAAAGCATAAAAATTAATATTTTTATTGAAAATAAAAAACTATACTTTAAATTAGTTAACAAAAATCACGAAATACGTGTAAAAAATACCTACAATTATCGAAAAAATTTTATAAACATAAAAAAAAAAGTAATTACAAGGAAAAAGTTATAATTAGATCAAAAAATGTTTCAAAAATAAATATGTGAAGAAAAAAATGCAAAATAGCAGTTGAGTTAAGAACGCTATGTTCTTCAATGAGCTAAAAGGGATGGATAAATAATTATACAAATACCCAGTCCAAATTATTATATTTTAATAAAATACAGATAAAGGTGTATCCTGATATCCCATTGTACTGTACTAACTTAAAACTATAGCTATTTTTAAATCTGGTATGTTAATACATGGAATCGAAAATTTATTTTTCATTTTATAGATGCTATGCTATGTTGGATTTTTAGATAACAATCCATTTAATTGTGATCATGTTGTAATAAAAATAAATAGTAATTATGTTTTTTTATTAGTTAGCTTTTACAAAAACTATGTAATAAATAGTATTTTATACAAATAGACATTAGAATTTATTACCTATTTTATTAATTTCAAGTCTTTTGTATTAGTTTTTAATGAAAATTATCTGTAATATCAGTTATTAAAAATTAAATATTTTATATTGACCTAAAATGCTGTGCTTGACGTAATATATTTGTACAAAAATATGATGTTATCATATGTTATAATGATGCGTAAGATACAGTCCAAATACTTTCAACCGTTGTTCACTATCCAGTATACAATCATTACTAAATTTATTATAATAGGTTAATTATTTACATATTTTATAATATAATGGCATAACTTTTTAAATTTTATGCATTCATTAACTTATTAACTTACTTATATTCTTACAACATTTGTTCCTTATTGCTTATTCCAGGTCGCAGCCTTAAAATTAAAGATAAAATATTTATAAACAAGTAGATATAGAAATTGGTTTAAACCTTATTAAAAAGTGTATTTAAATTTATTTATTATTATGTATAATTTAATGTGTATTTATAAAGTTTCTGAAAAATTAAATTTAACTCATTAATTACAAATTAATATTTCACTTAAATTACCATTTTACGAATAAATATGATGTTAAAAAAAAAAAAAAAATAATATAATAGGTAGGTACTAAAATATATATAACTATAAAGTTTGTTATTTGTATGTCTAATTAGTAATGAATTATTTCAAAAAAATATATAGTTCATTTAAATAATCGTGTATACGAATATGAGAATTATATAAATACCAATGGAGGAAAGTGTTTATATCTTTATAGTCTATAGAATCATGTCACAAATTTACTTATTCGGTAAATGTATACTATGTTTATATACATAATATATGTAGTTAAATAGGTTATAAATTATATGCTTAAATTTTGCTTGATGTCAATACAACAGTCAAGGTTAAAAAATCTAAAACAAATAAATACAAATTGTTTTCAGTTCTGATAATTTTTTGTTTATAATATTAATAATAATAATACAAAAAAAAAATATAGAAAGAATCAATTATTTTTTGTCGATTTACTCGTCACATTTTTCGTATACTTGTAATTTTTATAGATGTTGGACTTATTTGTAGTATCCTATAACAAAGTTTAATAACTATTAGTAGTAACTAAAAATGAAGTAAGTAATATAATATTTATACAATTTAATTTGGTTATATGATATATGTAATTACAGTGGCGTATTTAAGTGTTCATTCAGGGTCATGTGTATTTACGTTATATATTTTATTTTCTATCTAGAGATTGGCAAGTGATATAGCTGACGATTGTCATATTTCTACAATTTAAAATTACAAACCTTTAATTATTTTTAAATATTAACGCAAAATTGACAACATATTACACTATCATCGAAATAATATTAATTGTCAAAGTATACTATGAATAATTATTAGATTTTTTATTTTAAAATTATAAAATATACTTATGACACTTATGTAGTTATATGTTAAAAACAGCCCATGAAATTAAAAATATAATTAAAATAACTATTTTCTATTCTTCTAATTTACTAAGAATAATTTATTTAAATCAGTACCTATAATATTATGTTGAAATTATTGAATTCCCTCCCAGAAAAAAGTTGAAAATACGTCACTGTTTAATAAGATTTCCTAAAATAAACCAAAGAAGTCGCTCAGTCATATAAAAGCTAGGTTTATAGATTATTTTGTCATTGAGTAGTATTCCATCGTAGTTAATAGTTAATGTATTAAATTTTAATTATCAATGATGAAAAATTAGAATTTTAGTTAGGGGAAGAGGGAGAAGGGAATATTAATTTTAAATAATATTCTTGACAAATGATTAGGATTTGTAAGTAAAATCTTTAGATTACAAGTATGATTTCTTTAACTTTTATTTAGATGAGTGTGATGACTGCGATGAGGCATATTATTCGTAAACAATATCGCAATGATGCAATTTTATGATATTAATATAACCTTTATACTCTATGTACTCAGCAGACACTAAAAGTTAAAACAGCAGATTACCTTTCCTCTTACGCTATTACAAATAGAATATTTGTATAAATGTGTACATGTATAATAGTTATAAAGATGTTCTTTATAATAATTATGTAAATTATTTTACCTTTTGAACATAAGCGTTTGCGTAAAAGTTTCCAAATAGTACAATAAATGAAATCATGTAAATCACCAATAAATATTGCATCCATATAGGAAATTTGCATCCAGATTTAATTCCGTGGATACCCAAAAATAACGCAGTGGTAAATTGAATCTAAATTTTAAAATATAAATGAATTTGTTGAATACAACATAATACATAAATATAAATTAAATTATAACGTGTAATATTTACTAACCAATTGAAGTATAGTTAAGTACTTTTTCCACCATAAATACTTTTCAATTTTTGGGCCCAAAGCACTTAGAGCATAGTATGAATACATAAGTACATGTATAAAACTATTTACCATTGCAGGTAAAAACGTAGAGCCACTAGGCACCCATTTCACTCCAATCCACCACAAAGAGAACATAGTTGAATGATGATAAACGTGTAAAAAAGTAAGCTGTTTATCCTTTTTTCGGAGAATGAAGAAAATTGTATCACAAAACTCGAGGAGTTTTGAAAAGTAATACCACCAAATAGCTTTCAATAACTACAGTATAAAACATATTATAAAATGGCAATTAACTTATGTTGAGTAAAAAATTGTATTTATTATTATTTATTACCTAGGTGTGTAAACAAAATGCTCGAAATATAATATTTAAGTGTACTTTTATAAAAACGTAATTAAAAGGTAATTTTTATAACAATAAAACTAATAATTAGATGAAGTGAATTGATATTTTATTCATATAGTAATTAAACAAGTAAATTTTAAAATTCATCTGTACAAAAATGTTTTTATAATATTATTATTTAAATGGATATATTAAAAATCATAGTTATTAAACTTATAATTATATATAAAGTATAAAATTTATTACAAATTTGAAAAAAAAATATCAAGTATTAGTTAAAATAAATTTTATGTTGATAAATATAATATAATTATAATGTTTAATATTTAAATATCTTTAAAAATCTATAGGTACCTATTTTTAGAAATTTAAGTTTTTTTATAGACTTTTATATTGTGTACTTATAGGTTATAAGCTATCTACCTACCTTCTTCAAAATCATGAAAAACTTAAATTATCTATTAGAAATTATTGAATATATTAATGGTAAGCTAAATAATTAAACTAATTGATGTATCAATTTTTTTAAATAAATTACCCTCAATTCGTCTTTGTTGTTGATAAATGTTAGTGGTTGACAAACATAACTGTACCGTAAACGACTAGATGCCACTAGTAGCTGTAAATCAAATATTTAAATAATTATATACCTACCTAACTCATTTAATAAATACAGTTATTATAGACTTACTTCAATAGCTATATATAAATTTAGTAATGTCATAAGGATGTTGTATGGTACCAATATGGGAGTGAGTTTGAATGGTTTTCTATTTTTCATACATCTCGGACCCAAACCAACGATTATGAAATAAATTATTGTGTAGATAACGGTGGGTGTTGGAGAATCAACCATCAACCAACCTTTTGTTCTATCATCTGCAAGAAGAAAAAGAAGTGTTTATATTAAATATACTAAGTGACACATTTCTAAACATTTAAAAAATATTATCATAAATAACGATTCTGTGCTTAATCTGTACATTTTGGTATGTATATTATATGTGTGTATTATATATCGGCTTACTTACCCGAAACTGATAAAGACCATTGATAAAATTCGTTAATTTTTTTAGTCACTGGTGTAGAAAAATTCATTTCTAATGATTTCTATGTTCTAGGTAAAACATACATTTTATATTAATATATAGCTATGCTTAAAATAATATAATTTATATTTACATTTTAACTTTTCTATATGATGGTCACTGTGTCTTCTATTTAGATTATGATTGTTACAAATAATTGAATCAGTAAACATTAATCAACTTATATACGATATAACCATCACAAGTCCATCCTGAATACTGTTCTGGAGAAAACTGTTAAATGATATGAAGAAGAAGTTACCAGTTTACTATCGGTATAATAGTATAGGTAGGTATGACAAAACCATTTTCATAATGCTGTTCGGTCGAATGTAATCATCTCTCA